ATATGTTGCAAGCAGGTAACATTATGGGACCTCACTGTCAACTCTCAGTCCCTCTCTTCTCCCCTCACATTGCCTGCCACTGTGGCTCGTCTGCTCAACATGTAACAAATGACGGGACGAGTCAGCCCATTATATTTATTCAGTGCTGGTAGAGCTGGATTTCTCTGTCATCTCTCCTGGTCCATGGATTTAGAGGCTTAGAGGTGTCTGCCTAAGCATATGATGACTTTTAAACTTAAAAAAATCATAGGTCCATTTGAGGAGCCCCTCTCTGGACAAATGCTCATACCCACACACATCAGCATTAAGGGCAGATGGTCACTGAAATCCTGAAACCTATGAGTGAAAGCCCCCTGTCCAAAGACAAATTATGTCCTCAAAAAAGAAATGTGTTTGATTATAGAAGCATTAAGATTTATCCACAGATTTGTTTAAAGGTATAAACTTTATGACTCTGATTTTTTGAGCCAGGTCCCTTCTTTTGTGATCTCTTGTGCCACCTGTGGGCACTGTAGTGAATCATTTCCCAGCCCCACCAGAACCTTTTGAACATCCACTGTAAAACAAGTGATGTGTTAGAACCTCTAACCAGAAAAACAGAGTTTGCATTTTGTTTAATTCTCTATTCTCAAAATAGTCCACAGAAGACAATGCAGATTTATTTTTCCATGAGTTACATCACAGTTTGCTCCAATGAGGTCAATAGGATACAAACCACAACTTGATGGCAGAAGGGAGATTATTGGGACTGGTTTCTTTTTTTGTCTCTGTTCCCTACCCAGACTGTGTGTTCAGCATTTTCATACTCTCCTCCACTGATTCTGGTGTTTCCTTAACCTTGAGTCAATCTGAATCTCTTCCCCAGCTCAACCTATCTTTTCTAATATCCACTCCTAGGCTTCAAGAACTTTTGCTGAAATAACTGACCCACCACAATCTCATGCAATCTGACTTAATTATCTATTAATTTCAGTGTCTTATCATTGTAGATATACCACAGTAGTTCCCTAAAATGTACATGATCTCTTTCACCAGCTTCTCCTGATTGTCCTATTCTCTCCTGGGGCATGGTGTTGAAGAGAGAGGTGAGAACACGGGATTCAGAAAAAGCAGAGTTCAAAGTCAGAATTAAAATTGAAGGTGGCTGTGTCTTTGAGTTAGGTACTTACCTCTTCTGGATCTCAGTCTCCTTATCTCTACAGTGGAAACAAGAACATTTGCTGTTTTTGACCATCATGAGTACTAAATCTTTCCTTTCCAAAAAGTGAATATCTTTTAGTTTGTAAAACACACACACATACACACACACACACACACACACACACACACACACACTTGACCCTACAGTTTTATTGTTTCCTTCTCCCCATCCTTTCTCTTTCCCCTGCCCAACAATGTTATTCTTTCGTTTCATGATTTATACGTTTTCTTTTTCCTATTTGAATAGTTCAGAGTACTTATGTTGCAGTCTTTATCATATTGCTCTATTATCTCCAATTCTCGGGGTGCAAGTTCTGTCAATTTTTTTTTAACTGGTGACTGTTCCTTCTGAGGGTTTGTTTTGGTGGGGCTCTTAGTTTTTTACTTTAAGTTTTTTTTTTACTTAGTTTTTCTTCATTGGTGAAAATGATCTTTCTTTATTTCTTTTTTTCTTAATCCTCATCTGAGGATATGTTTATTGATTTTAGAGAAAAAAGAATGGAGAGTGAGAAAAGGAAGAGACAGAGAGAGAGAAACATTGATCAGCTGCCTGTAATACATGCCCAAAGACCAGGGATTGAACCCACAACATAGGTATGTGCCTTGACCAGGTATTGAACCCTCAACCTTTTGGTGTATGGGATGATGCTTCAACCAGTTGAGCCAGCCAGCCAGGGAGGAGAATGTTTTTTTTTTTTTTTTTAAAGAAGTATTTTATTTTATTTATCTTTAGAGGGGAAGGGAAGGAGAGAGGGAGAGAAATATCAATGTATGGTTGCCTTTCATGCGCCCCCTGCTGGGAACTGGCCTGCAGGGAACCAGTCTGCAACCCAGACATGTGCCCTGACCGGGAATCGAACAGCGATTGTCTGGTTCGCAGGCCCGCGCTCAATCCACTGAGCTACACCAGCCAGGGCACAGAATGTTTTTTTATAGGTGTCCCATAAGGCCTAGATTGTAGAAGTGCCCAATAGTCTTGTTATTAAAAATCAATCTATTCTCTGCTCAAGGATATTCTTCAGTAGTTGCTCTCTCCCTCCCCTGCAATATGACTTTTTCTCCCTACTGAATCATTCCAAATAATATAAAAACATGCTATAATAGCCTCTATTTGTCTTGTTAGATATTACCCTTTACAGCAAAACTTCTTGAGTGACTCATCTATATTTGTTGCTTCAATTCTTCTCCTCCCATTCTCTATTGAACTTGCTCCATTTAGACTTTTTCTTTTTCCAGAATAGCTTTCCATAAAGCTATTCTCATCAAAGTCACTAATGTTTCCTCTCTTGCTAAAACCAATGGCCGATTCTCCATCCTTATGATATGTTTGGTCATTAGCACTTAATCAAGTTGATTACTCCCTTCTCCCCCTTCTTTGAACATTTTATGCACTTGGCTTCCAGTATATCATTCTCTCTTTGTTTTCCTTTTACCTCAGCAGCTCCTCCATCTCTCCCTCCTTAGATGGGCCCTGGTGCTCCCTGGCGCTCTCCTTATCTCCCTGGCGCTACATGTTAGTGTGTCCCAGGGCTTACTTCTCATACCTGTTCTCCTCTTTATTTTCACTCATTGTCTAGGGCTTGGGCCTTTGTTATTTCCTCTGTCTGGAAAGTTCCACCAGATACCCACAAGCTTTGCTCCTTTACTTCAAGTTTGGGTTCAAGGTTATTTTATCAGTTGGCCCTTCCTTGACCAGCTTACAAAAATTATACTTCATCTCTAACACTACTTATGCTCCCCTTACCTTCATTTAATTTTCTCCACATCACTTATCCTTACCCAACATATTATTACTTGTGTATTTATTTATTTATTGTCCAGCTTTCTCACAAAATATAACTCTCATCAGGGCAGGGAGTTTGTTTTGTTCACTGTTGTATACCCAGCTTTTGGAACAGTAGTGGGCACCAAGGAGGCATCTGATAAATATTTATTGAACGAGTGAGTGAATAAATAAATGAAAATAAATGTCACCTTTTTATTATTTCCTAAGTTGAGGAAGATATCTCTCAACTTTTAAACTTTCTTCTTTAGTTGTTCAGTCTGTTCAGAAAGATAAGAAGTTTTATGCTTCATCTCAAGTTGCCAGTTTGTAAAGAAATGGTTAAACTGCCAAGACTCACTTCCATACTCAGGAACATCTACCAGTGTTAGAGTTTTCAATGTGAGGTTCATGGTCTTCAAGATGAACTTTAGGGCCCTGTGAGCTCCCTGAATTTGTGTGTAGATGTGTATGTTCATCTTCCTTGCAAAAAGACTTATAGCTTCCATCAAATTCACAAAGGGGTCTGTGGCCCAATTAATACTTTTTGAATTGCTGTTATTTTTCTTGGGTGGTGATCAGCTAAAAGCTAACAGATTGAGGATAAAAACTTATCATCTAAACCAACTCATCTGTTTACTTTTTTAGAAACGAAGCACTTTGCTGTTGAAAATAACACCTACTGCAGGGGGCCCTTTAAATCTTCCTGATAAATTGTTACCCACCCTCTGCTTAGGAACTCATAAAGCAACATTGTGAACTTTAGAAACTTCTACCTGGGCTAACCTGAAAAGTTTTCACACATGGAGTCTTGCTCAGACCCTAGGATCTAGAGAACATGTTGAATCCCTTGTCTACTGTCCAGTTTTTCAGATAAGTGAATAGATCATGATCCATACTTACTCCCTATCCCCAAAGCTTTATTTCTCCGGAGGAGATATCCCCAGTTCCTCCTAACATGGGACAGGGCACTTCACCCCACTGGCAAATCCTTTTATGAATGGTCTTCAGTTGCAAATTGCTGGAGATTGATATACCTATAATACCACATACATAACTTTGATTTGAGCCTGTAGCCTCTGCTGATGATTGTGTGGCTCAGTGCAGGATGGCCTGGAAATGGCCAAGTCCGGAAATTTGGAAACCGGTGGCAAGGCTGCGGCTGCTGCCTGGGTTAGAAACGATATACAAAGGAAGTAGAGAGGTAGAGACTGGAGAAAGGAAGAGGTGTCTAAGAGGTACGGGGGTCGGGGGGAGGGGGTTGGAATCGTAGCCTGCGGGAAAGAGCAGGAGCGTGGAGGGAGGAGGCAAGAATGGCATTCCAGTGGAATGAGTGCGTGTAAGGGGTGGAGGGGTCTGATGGGAGTGAAGAGGGAAGGAAGCAGACAGAGGAGGAGAGACGAAGGTAGAAAGAGGTTATCGTACCACTGAACTCCAACCCCGAAAGGGAGAAGTGTAAGCAGAACGCCCAGGAAATGCAGCGTTGGTGAGAGTTGGAGAAGCAAGACAGAGCGAGGTCGGGGCAAACCAAACGCCTCCGGAAGGCCAAGTGAGGTAAGAAAGGCAATGAGCTGCGAGACCTGGGTCATGAACGGGGGATAATGGCACAGATTTTCAGCTCTGGGCGTGGAACTGGCCGAAGCATCTGCAACAGACAAGGGAATTATCTTTGTGGACCAACCCTCGCAGTGTTGGATCCAGTGCCTTGAACAAACTAGGGCCTTAATAAATGAGTGTTTGCTGAGGACCAAAACAACCCAGGATTCCTGAATGAGTAACTGAAGGGCCGGCTGCGGACTTGGTAGAGCAGCCTTAGCGTAGAGGGGGCTACGCGAGGCTAGACAGCGCGGGTGGCCAATAGGAACCCGACCCTCAGTCCTGGCCCCTCCCCTTGCCCTACCCCGCCCCTCCCCGCCCTGCCACTACTCCCTCCTTCTCACTGGCAGAGGCGGGCGCGTTGCTCGTCTCCCGGAAGTGCGCCCAGACTCCGCGCTGCGGGCCTAGGTGAGTGCGCGCAGCCTGGGTGGGCCTGGGCGGGCCTGGGTGGGCCATTCCCGGGCCTCTTGGGGTCGGTTCTGGAGCCACGCGCGTCCCTGCTGGACTTGGCCGTGCTAGAGAACAGCGGCAGGGTCAGTGGACGCCGCCGTGCGCCTGGGAGTGCCTGCGGAGAGGTGGCAGGGCTGTGAGTGGACTCTGGGGTTGTAGGGATGCCTGTACCCTGACCAGGCTCTCAGTTCTGGAGCCAGTTGGTCCCTTCTGGACTCGCCAGCCACGTGTCTGGATTGGGACCTAAGACGGGACCCTGCCGCCTGTCTCTCCCAAAGGCTGGAAATGAATATCGGGAAGAGGGAACCCTGAAGGGCTGTTGTCCACAGTCGTTAACTGGATGCTGTGGGAGTTGGGGTCCGAAGGGTGGAGCACTCATTGGTGGGTAGCGCTGCCCGGAACCTTTTGGGCTTGAGCGGCCCTGGGAGCTGCCTCGGGCTGTTTGTGGCAGCCCTCAAACCCGCCCCACCAAAGGTTGGCAGATCTCCCCAAAGCAGAGGTATTAGAACTTCCCGGGTTTAAATTTGGCTACCACTGGGAACCTCGGAGGTTCTTGATCTATAAAGTTTGATACTTACCTTGCAGGGTAATTGTGAGGATAAGAAGTGACATGAACAGGGCCTAATACAGAGCTGATACATTACCCAGGACACTTGTTAAAGAAAACATTACTCAAGACGCTTGTTGAAGACGGTAAGGCTGACTTTATTCAGGGGAACTACTAAACTGGGTTTTGCAGTAACAGAGAGCTAGAATACAATAAAGACATTGAATTTATAGTCAAGTAGTAGTGTGGGGATCGGTGCATGTGAAACTACTGGAGGAAATGTGGGTTAAGGGGAGATTCTGGCTAAGCCTACTGGACAGATTTGCTGAAGGCAGGCTAGGGTGAATAAGGTGAAAGGTTTTCTTAGGCTCCTCCCAGGAAGAAATGCCAATGAGCCACAAAGTTAGGCAGTATAGAGCTTTGTTGGGGTTTGTACACCCCGGCAGGTTCCCCAACCCACAGAGTGGGGCCAGGGAAGTTGCCCCCAAGCAGGCAATGTGGTGGGGTTTTATTTTGGTTGGCTCTCTTCGTGGGAGCTGGGGATTGGTCCCCTTTGAACAAAGCGGGCAATATATGCCCACGTGAGCAGTCTTTTCTGGGTTGTAGTTCAGCCGCCATTTTGTCCTACCTCACCCATCCTGACATAAGGAATTTGATCATTTATCAAGGGTGGTCAGCTACCAAGGGTGGGGGAATATAGACAGCAATCAGATAGCGAAGCTGGAGGACTTTCCCTAACCTGGATCCAGCAAGATTCTTGATAAACTGGACTAGAATGCCAAAGGGCAGAGTGCAGGGTCAGCCTAGTCAAAAAGAGGATTCAGGAGCTGACTCAAGTTTGGTTAAACAGAGTGTTTGTCAATAGTAGGTGCTGAGAAAAGGTTTCTTACATATGTACATCTAGTAAATATATTTACCTAGATGTACAGTTAAAATTTTATTCTAATTTGTTATAGCTTTAATAAATATAACAACTCTGCATTTGGAATAACCTTTTTTGTTGTTGTTACAAGTAGATTCTTATGAAGTCGTTCCGATATAAACCCAGACACTCTATAAACTAATTTAGTTTTGAATAATTGAGGCACTTTTTAGCATTATGTGAGAATATAATTACTAAAGTCAGACTTAAATATTTTATAAGCTCTGTAGATTTCCTTAAATGTCATTTTTCCTAAATGTTATCTAAACTGCTATCTTGATTCAGGAACCAACTGAATTTGAATAAGTCTACTGATCAGTCTCTTGTGTCTGAAATCTTGCTTCTTGTTATTTGACATTCAAGAACCAAATAGATTAATGAAGGATACATGATATTTATTCAGTTTTTAAACATTTATTTAAAGCTGTACAATTCTCTCTAGACAGTGCTTTTGCTGTTTTCTACAATTTTTGATATGTTGTGTTTTCATTATCATTCAGTATGATAATATACAGGGTCTAGCACAAATAATACCCCTTTTTTATTACAAAATCTTTTATTACAAAACCATAAGCATGTAATTCTGTAACATAACAATATCACACTGAAGCACACCATATGACATTTTAGGTGAAATGTTCAAATTAAAACTATAAATTACTACACACATACTATTCCCCTACCAACCATACTCAAGCAGGCATTACTCCTGCCAGAAGTATTTTAATAATCTTTGTGATTATTATAGGTTTTTTAATAATTTTAATTTTCTTTGAACATAGGTTATTTAAGATTGTTATTGAACAACTTTCATATAGTAGGGTTTTTTAAATGTCTTATTGATAATGATTTCAAATTTAATTGCACTGTGTTGAGAGAATATACACTTTAAGATTCCAGAGAATACCCCTGGCTGGTATAGCTTAGTGGATTGAACACAGGCCTGCAAACCAGAGGATTGAGGTTTGATTCCCAGTCAGGGCACATGCCTGGGTTGCAGGCCAGTTCCCAGCAGGGGACCTACGAGAGGCAACCATACACTGATATTTCTCTCCCTCTCTCTTTCCCTTCCCCTCTAAAGATAAATAAATAAAATCTTCAAAAAAAAAAAAAAAGATTCCAGAGAATATATACTTCAAGATTCCGACATTAAGTATGTGTATTGTCTGTTTGGGTGAATGTTATACATTCACTTGAAATGAATGTGTATTTGATAGTTGTGGGGTCTAAATGTCAATAAGATAAAATTGTTTGATAGTATTGTTCAGATTCCTATATCATTATAGATTTTTTAGGGGGGTGGTCTACTCGTGGTATAAATTACTGACAAAAGGATGTTAAAATCTCCAAGTATGATTGAGGATTTGTCCCTTTAGACCTGATATGAAGTGCATACACATTTAGAGTTCTTTTGTGTTCTAGATGATTTAATCCATTTATCATAATGAAATGTCCCTCTTATTCTCTTTGTCTTGAGGCCTCATGGTCAGATACCAATATAGCCATACCAGCTTTCACATGTTACAAGTTGTATCTTTATATGTAAAATATCTCTTGTAGACAGTATGGTTGTGTCTTGCTTTTTTAAAATCTGACCATCTCTACTGTGTAATTCAAGTGTATAGTCCATTTACATTTAATGTAGTTGTTGACATGGTTGTATGTTAGTTTACCATATTTTCTTTTTTCCATTTGATGTTTCTGGTTTTTATTCTTCTCTTGAACCATTCCTATCACATTATGATTTTTGGTATTCCTTTTTGGTTTTTAATTATATCTTATTTATATTTTTACAGCTAACAATATGTATCTTAAATTTACAAGTGTATATCTTAGGTTTAACTTGTCAGTCCACTTTAATATTGTACCACTTTACACTTCACAGTTCACATTTCTCATTTTCTGCCTTTCATTTCAAACTTTTACACTTACCATTTTCACCTGACACCACTGCTCAGTTTCTACTTTTTATTTCTCAATTAGCAGTTCATAAATGTAATAACCTAACAACAGATTGATTCCACTTACCCCTCCTTTGTACTATTGTAATATCTTTTACTTGTGTTCTACTTACATTGTTGTTACTTCGGCTTTTAACAGTCAGCTGCCTTTTAAGGAAGTGAGAAGAAATAAAAGCATGTTATTTTATGTATTTACCATATATATACTGTTTCTGAGATTTTCCTTCCTTTTTGTAGATTTGAGTTTCCCTTTAACTAGAGCAGTGTCCTTTAGCATCACTTGTAGTATAAGTCACTGGGGGGAAATTCTCCTACCGTGGTTATCTGAAAAAATGCTTTTAATTTTTGTTGTTGAAAAAATTTGGGGGGATGTGGAATTCTGGATTGATGACTCTTCTTCTAGAGTTCGCATTTGGTTCTTTTTTGAGTAATTTTTATTTCCCTGTGGAAAGTCTTTATCTCTTTCATTAAGATTATGTTTTTCTCTAAGTGCTCTGGTCATCTTGGGGTGGGTTTCCCCTGACTGCTCTTTTCCTTGACTTTTTAAAAAATATATATTTCATTGATTATGCTATTACAGTTGTCCCATTTTTTTGTCCCCTTTTTCCCCCTCTGCCCTGTACTCCCCCTCCTACCATCATTCCCGTACCTTAGTTTGTGTCCATGGGTCATACATATAAGTTCTTTGGCTTTTCTCTTTCCCAACTATTCTTAACATTCCCCTGTCTATTTTGTACTTAACCATTTATGCTTCTTATTCTCTGTACCTTTCCCCCCATTCTCTGCCCTCTCCCTCCCCACTGATAATCCTCCATGTGATCTCCACTTCTGCAAATCTGTTCCTGTTCTAGTTGTTTGCTTAGTTCATTTTTGTTTTTGTTTTTTAGGGTTCAGTTGTTGATAGTTGTGAGTTGCTGTCATTTTACTATTTGTATTTTTTATCTTCTTTTTCTTACATAGTTCCCTTTAACATTTTATATAATAAGGGCTTGATGATGAACTCCTTTAACTTCACCTTATCTGGGAAGCACTTTATCTGCCCTTCCATTCTAAGTGAAGGCTTTGCTGGGTAGAGTAATCTGGGATGTAGGTTCTTGTCTTTCATGACCTGGAATAGGTCTTTCTAGCCCCTTCTTGCCTACATGGTTTCTTTTGAGAAATCAGCTGAAGATCTTACCAGAACTCCTTTGTAGGTAACTGTCTCCTTTTCTCTTGCTGCTTTTAAGATTCTCTCCTTATCTTTTAATCTTGGGTAATGTAATGATGATGTGCCTTGGTGTGTGCTTCCTTGGGTCCAGCTTGTTTGGGACTCTCAGCTTCCTGGACTTCCTGGAAGTCTATTTCCTTTGCCATATTGGGGAAATATTATTCATTATCTTTTCAAATATAAGTTTTAGATTTCTTGCTCATCCTCTTCTCCTTCTAGCACCTCTATGATTCAGATGTTGGAATGTTTAAAGTTGTCCTGGAGGTTTCTAAGCCATTTTTTTTGAATTCTTGTTTCTTCATTCTGTTCTGGCTGAATATTTGTTTCTTTCTTCTGCTCCAAACTGTTGATTTGAGTCCCAGTTTCCTTCTGTTTGCTGTTGGTTCCCTGTACATTTTCTTTTATTTCACTTTTCATAGTTACTTTTTCCTTTGTTTTTTGACCATACTCAACCATTTCTCTGAGCATCCTGATTACCAGTGTTTTTAACTCTGCAACTGGTAGGTTGGCTATCTCTTCACTGCCTAGTTGTATTTTTTCTGGAGCTTTGATCTTTTCTTTCATTTGGGCCATATTTTTTCAACTTGGGATGCCTGTTAGGTAGTAAGGGGCAGAGCCCTAGATATTCACCAGGGCGGGGTAACCCATGTGGCTGCGTTGTGGTGCTGTATATGGGGGAGGAGTGTGAGAGGGAGCAGTGCTGCTTGTTCAGCTCTTCACAGGCTTTCAGTCACTTCCTCCACTACCCACAAGCAAGTTGGGCCCTTCTGGGACTGATTCCTGGGTGGGTGATTTTGTGTATGTTCTAGGACCCTGTGGGTCTCTCCAAGGAACTGTCCTGTGAGGCTGGGAGTATCTCCTGTTGTCTCAACCCCAACAGGTATTTTCAGTTAGAGGTTCTGAGGCTTTATTTCCCCGCACCAGAACCCTGGGTTGCTCATTCTGTCTCGCTCCCCACATGTTTTTCCCAGTTTAATCCACATGGGAATATGGGACCGCCTGCTCTGCCAGCCACCGCTTTGCTGTGAGTCCTCTTTGCCCCAGCTGCCCATCTCCACCCCTCCTCCCAGTCTGGATGAATGTCTTTAACTCCTTGGCTGTCGGACTTCCATACAGTTTGATTTTCTGGCAGTTCTGGTTATTTTTTGTTTTTAAAATGGTCTTGTCCTTCTTTTGGTTGTACAAGGAGGCAAAGTATATCTACCTATGCCTCCCTCTTTTTTTTATGTCTAGTAATTTTGGATTGCACCCTAGATACTGTGGATAACAACACATGGTTGATGCTAAGGAGTCTGTTATCTTCCTCCGAAGAGCGTTGACTTTTGTTCTAGCACGCAGCTCACTTACTGACCTTTGACTTGTGTTGCCTTGGTTTTAAGCCTTGTTAGGTCAGATCTTTGGAAAGTCCAAGGTATTTTCCAAGTTCTAACTAGATCAGACTAGACCAGTAGACTCTGTGGATCTTGCTGGGGGTTGGCTTTAGGCTTTTTAGGGCAGGTTTAGAGTAGGTCTTACTCTAGGATGTGGTCTTTACTTTGAACATGCGGCCTTTCTGGTATCCCACAATGCCTTTAGGTTAATGAAGGCAGAGTTTTCTCCACTCTCAGTGGTCAAACACTCCCATGTTGCTCATCACTGGTTGGTCTTTTATATTTCTCTTTTGCTCTTAATGTGGTAGCAACTACTGTCTGTTAATTAAACCTTGCATAGTTTTACTCTGCTAATGAGCACTCTAACCCTTGGCCAAAGGCTCATGGGGAAACCCCACCCAGACTTCTACCTCTACCCCCATAGCTCCCTCCTTTCTGCTGCCCTGTTCTTTAGATTCCATCCACTTCAGTGGCTCCAACCTCTGACCTCTGCCTCCTTACCGCTTTTGTTTTTTTAAGATGAGACTGTTGATCTCTGCTTGAGCCCCAGCTTCCTTTCCATGGGAAGTTGTCTCCATGCAGACAGCCAGGGTGTTCATGGGATTCACCTCATGAACTTTTCTTCTCTCAGGAAACTTATTCTTGCCTGCTTGTTGTCAGGTGCTTGAAAACAGTTGCCTTGTAAGTTTTTCTCCAGTTTTGGAGTTGTTTACAGTGAGCGGGCTAGTCTGTATACTACCAGTTACTGTGTCATGACCAGAATTAAATTTCTGAAACATGTATTTATTGAGCACATAATATATGATGTATGTCACTGGTAAACTGGTTGCTGCCTAAATATATGAGTGAAATATATTTATTTCACTCTTTCCTTTTTCGTTCCCTGGAGAAATTTGTTCTTATTTATTTATTTAGCTTTTTAGATGATTTTGTGATATAGGATGAATTGTTTGGTGAAGTGGTAAGGATGAAGATATTGTTTTTTTTTTTTTTAAGTTTTTAAAAATTTATCTTTTAGAGAGAGGGGGAGGGAGGGAGAAAGAAAGGGAGAGAAACATCATGAGTTACTTACAGCATATTCCCAACCGGGGACCTGGCCTACAACCCAGGCATGTGCCCTGTCCGGGAATGGAACTGGCAACCTTTTGGTTCACAGGCCAGCGCTCAGTCCACTGGGCCACACCAGCCAGGGCAAGGACATTGGTTATTATAACTGAAGGAAAGAGCAACTATTAAAAGCCAGAGTGTTGCACTGATCTCTAATTAAGCCAGATTCCCAACTGACTGGGTGTCTTTTGGTTGTCGTGGTTAGTGTTACAGAGAATGTTGACCTTTAGGTCCTTTATAACATTTGAGCATTGACCCAACAATTAATCCAGTACTGGATTATATGCAAAAAAGCTAACTACATATAGCATTAACTTTGCCACTTACTATTTCTCCTTTTACTACCTTAATTACTAACTAAACTTTAATACTATTATCAAATCAATCTGTAGGAATGTTTTCAAGATAGTTAGTATTTATTCTAAACCTTCTTTAAGGACAGGGTTGAAAATCTCAGGTGTGACAGGTTTTTTATATAAATTCCCAATTTTCAACATCCTACTCAAAAGAGGTCACTTCGAAATTTCATTGCACTTTTTGGGGAAGGATTAATTTGTTCTGTTCAACCTCATATTTATTATGGAAACATCTGATCATTTCAACATTAGCCTTTATTTATAGGGCACTGTTGTTTTTTGTTCAGCTTTATTTTTTAGTATGCAGACATAAGGATGCAGATATAGAAGTGTTTTGCAGAAGAGCCGTTTACTTGGAGACCCAGAGTGAAAATGCTTCATTTCGTGCATTTCATTTTCCTACGGGCTGGACATTTGAAGACCAAGTAGGGATGTTATAAAATGGTCAGGGTGATGGTCACAGGTCAGATAAGAATGAGTGGTTCACTCTGTGGCTTCAAGTTTACATTCTCGCAAAATAAAAGATTGTATCCATTGATTTGGAAAAATCCGTGGTTGACTGACTCCTCGTTGTTCTTTCTGATGTGTCCCTTTTCTCTATAGAACACACGATCGCACTCCCTCTTCTGTCCCTGTGAGAGGCTCTGTGAAGGCCTGGTGCTCCCCAGAGACAGCTTCATCCCAGAAGAACTCTACCTGAAAGGACTTGCCAGGCCAGATGATGCCCACTGAGCTGGGGCAGGCCCTGGTCCTGCCGCCACCACTGCCGAAGGCCGAGGACTTTCTATTCTCCGGGCCAGATGCTGTCCCTCGAGGGGAGCCCTCCAACCCCGAGACAGCACGTCAGCTCTTCAGGCAGTTTCGTTACCAGGCAATGTCTGGGCCCCAGGAAACCCTGAGACAACTGCGGAAGCTCTGTTTTCAGTGGCTGCAGCCAGAGGTGCACACCAAGGAGCAGATCCTAGAGATCCTCATGCTGGAGCAGTTCCTGACCATCCTGCCTGGGGAGATTCAGATGTGGGTGCGGAAGCAGTGTCCAGGCAGTGGGGAGGAGGTAGTGACCCTTGTGGAAAGCTTGAAGGGAGACCCCCAGAGGCTGTGGCAGTGGGTAAGCTGAGGCTAATATGACATGTTAGCGAAGCACAGGGCTGCTTTGGGGTCTTATCAGATATATTGCCTTTTTTTTCTGACACCAAATATGTGGTGTTTTTTACACCAACAACCATTCTCTGATTCTCTGCTACCAGCTGGGTGTCCTACAGTTCAGTTCAGTTCTGACACTGTAGGGGTATCCTACAGGGCAAGGGTTAGTCTCAAATACCGCCCCCATTTCAGATGCCTGTCACAAGTGTCAAGGGCCACCTATACTTAGGACGAACTGGCTCTAAATTTGGAGGTTCCCAAAGTCTTGTCCTTACATAATTGCCTAGAATGACCTATAGAACTCGAGAAAACACATTACTTACATTTTCCAGTTTGTGATGAAGGCTGTGTAACTCAGGAATAGGCAAATGAAGGAGATGGGGTCACACAGAGCTTCCCTGCCTTTTTCAGGCCATCCACTTTGGTGTGGTCACCAGCTCAGAAGCTCCCTGAACCCCCAAGCTAAGGTGTTTCTATGGAGGCTTCATTACTCAGGCATGATTGACTTATCATTGGCCACTGGTGATAGAACATTTCTAGCCCCTATCCCTTCTCCAGAGCTTGAGGGGTGGGGCTGAAAGCTCCAACCCTCTAATTACCTTGTCGGTTCCTCTGGCAACCAGCCCCACTCCTGAAGCTACCTAAAGGTCCACCAAGAATTACCTCCGTAGCATAGACTCAGGGATAGTCAACTTTTTGTCACCTCAACAAAAGTTGACTTTTACTCAACTCAACTTTTTGTCATTCTGACAAAAGTTGCTCTTGTCACTCCTTCAGGTAATTCTAAGGGTTGCAGGCGTACTATGCCAGGGGCAAAGACCAAATATATATTATCACACCACATTGGTATATCCCCATAACACACTGAGTTCTAAGATTCCCTGGGAATTGTAACACTTTTTAGCCATTAGGGATTGAAGATAAAATCTCTCATCCCATTCCATCTTTTGACTAGAGTATTTGAGAAGTTCAAAAGACATCTGAATTTTACTGGGGCAGACTACCCAGTAGAAACGTAGTATTAGTGGTACGTCTCCAAGGTCACCCAGCCCTGGTTCAGGCCTCGGCTTTTGGCCTCTCTCACTGGTTCCTGCTGTACTAGAAAGAAATGCTGTTTTTCTCTTTCCTTAGTCCATGTTCCTAAGGACTGTCTTATGGTCTGTGATAGAAGCTTTCAGAAACCCTTCCTCTGGCACTTTCAGTAATGAGTGTTATGTGTGGTCTCTAGATCAGCATCCACATTCTAGGACAGGACGTCTGGTCCCAGAAGGTGGAATCGGTGAGCTGCCAAGTTGGGGAAGTGGAGTCTCATCTTGAAGTGACACCTCAGGAGCTGGGACTCCAGAATTTACCCTCTGGGCCTGGGGAGCCACTGAGCCACATGGTGAAAGAGGAGTCTCACACGGAACAGAAATTAGGTGGGGCAGTTAGCACGGTGGCGTGTGGTGCACTCCTGGGGGCTGTGGTTGGTGGGGCTAAGAGTGAGTTGGAAACAATAATGCTGCCCAGAGTGGGGTTATCTGTAGGAGGTTCAGAAACAGGGTATTCTGTATGAATTGCTCTGATGTGGATATCCAGAGCCTGTAATTTAACCACATGATCACTAGCCCATAGCTTTTGGATTTTGGTTTTGAGGAAGGAGGGTAGAAAATACGGGCGGGACTGTTGGGAAGGTTGAGGGGAGTTGCAGTTTTTTAGGGCGGTAAATGCGGTTCTTAAAATCATAGATGGTAAAACAGGTACCAGTTCTAATTTGTGAGGATTTTTATTGGTGCCTCTGGAGACTGGTTGAGGAGGAATCTAGTTCTGCAAACTGCCTCTTTCTCACTTCAGCAGTGGCTGCCCCCCTGCTCCCTGCCCAACCTGAGGAAAGACTCCTCAGAGACCAGCCCTTCGGAGCCTCCCTTCTCCAAACAGCACCTCAGGTGAGCCAGGCTGCTCTGCCCCCCGATCCCGGAGCAGGGAGAATTTGCAGAAATTCGGCAGAAAGGAAGGCCTAGCACAGATAACAAGAATAATACCTGTGGCATGAAACCCAACAGAACGTTTCCTAATTGTCATCCGAGAAAAGTTATGCTGAGAAAAGACTCATTTTGTCATCTGAGCTTCTCATGTAGAAGTCAGTTTGAGACTTCAGTGGTTATATCTAATGTGGGACAAGCTTCTCTTCTCCTCCCCACTCCATAGAGGCATAATCGACACAACAAGCTGCACGTGTTGAAAGCATTCGGTTTGTCAAGTGTTTTGACACATGTAGACACACACAAAACCATGACCACAAACAAGGCAATAAACATCTCGGTCCCTGCCAAAGGTTCCTTTCCCTCTCCTCCACCCCTCTACCCTCCATCCCCCCCACAAATTCAGAGGCAGCCACTGCTCTGATTTCTATTACCCTACATTTGTTTGCATTTTCTAGCATTTTCTGTGAAATATAATCATGCCATATGTCTTCTTATCCTTGTTCTGCATATAATGTATCTTTCTTGGCTTGCTGCTTTTAATATTTTCTCACTGGGTTTGAACAAGTTGACTATGATATACCTTGGAATTTTCTTTATGTTTCTTGTGCTTGGATTCATTAAACTTTTTGGGTCTGTGTGTTTATAGTTTTTATCAAGTCTGGAAAACTTTTAGCCATTATTTCTCTGTTTTTCTTTCTCTTTTTTCCTCATTTTCTTCTCTGAGGACTCCGAGAGTGACACACATATGGGATGTATATAATGATAATGTGTGTGTGTGTGTATTAGATCTGCTTACGCTATCCTTCAGCTACCGATGCTCTCCTCTCTTTTTCTAACTTCTGTGTTTTGTTTTGGATAATTTCCATTCTGTCTTAAAGTTCATTAATCTTCTGTGTCTACTATGCTGTTAATCCCATCCAATGTATTTTTCATCTCAGATGTATTTTTAATGTCTTGAAGTTTGAATTAGGGCTTTATTATATCTTTACTGTGTTCAGACTTTCCTTCACCTTCTTGAAAACATGGAATACGATTGCAACATCTGCATTAATGTCCTTGTCCACTAATTTATCAGCTGTGTCAGTTTTGGTGGATGGATTGATCTCATTATGAGTTGTGTTTTCCTACTGCTTTGTAGGCCCAGTAATCTTTGATCACATATCAAATGTTGGGACTTCTACCTTGCTGGGGCTGGGTATTTCTGTATTCCTATAAATGTTTTGGGGCCAGTGCTGGGATACTGTTAGCTGACTTGCAGTTTGTTATATGGCATTGGAGGCGCTTTTAGGGTCAGGCTACCTCTTCCCCACTGCTGAGACAGTACCCCTCTGAGAGCTGTACCTGATGCCCCTTGGTGCACGAGGGTGTGTGCACTGTGGATGCTGGACAGGGGAGGCACTTCCTGCACTGTGCAAACCCTGAGGGTTGTTTTCTTCTGCTTTTGCTGAGTGGTGCTGTCCTGGGCTCGACAGGTGGCCTCTGCAGGTCTCCGGAGCTCTCGCTTAGTGTGGCTTCCCACTCTGGCCTTCTTTTCTGGTAACCCTATATCCCCCTCAGAGCTCCTTCTGCTCACTTTGGAGGGCTGCCTGGCTCTGCCAGAGACCCCCTTTTGAGATAATCTCAATGTTCTCTATAGGCAGTAAGCCTGGGCAACTGTAGGGCTCACATACTTCGTTTCTCCACAAGCAAGGATCTCTGCTCTGCTCTGCTCTGCTCTGCCTAACATGCAACATCTGAAAGCCATTGTTCGGATAGTTGGTCCCTTTTCTCAGAGGCTTCAGACACAAAGATAAACACAGTCTCTATTACTTCATCCTAGCCATAAGCAGAAGTGTCTGGGGCAGGTTCATTTTGATTATCTCATTAAAAATTCTAAAAACCTGCATTTGATAAAAAATAAAAATTTCCAAGAACCTATACACCTTAATGAAAACATTGTTTTGAACCTTTGGGGAACTCTCCTTGGGATTTACCTGGCGAGGTAACAGAGTTTAGGGGAAGATAGGGAAGCCAGTAGGAGGCGCTGAAGGTAGGGGTGAGGAGCAGGCCTGAGCTTCAGATTTCTAGGCTCCAAGATTGAAAAGGCAGAACACCACCTTTGTAACACTGTGGGTAAAGGGGTGGGGGAAGGATACATGTTTTAGTGACTCAGGGTGCCTTCTTGCTTTCAGGGTACCGAGAAACCAAATTGTTAGGCAGGAGATTGCTTGGTGAAAAATATTGGGTATTCTCTCAAATATTTTGAGCACACTCAGAGGATTATTGTTTATTCTATAGTAAGTACAGTATATCTGTATGAAAAGTATATATAACTTATTAACATACTTTAACTAGTAGAATTAAGCATTAACTATATAACGTAACAACATTAACCATGACCTCTCCTGGATAGCTTAAAGGCAAAAGATTTAAAATGCTCACCAGCAACACTGTGTGTGTGTTAAATTCCTTGTGTTTAGCAGAAGACTGATTGACAGCCACTGAACCTAAACAAATAAAACATCATTTGTAACCAATCCTAATATCCTTCCCCCAAGTTAACAACTATTTGCATTAGAAGGATCTTGATATTTAATGAAATCCTTTGTAAGTGACAGAATTTTTAATATATAAGTAATTGCTTTCCCTAATCTCTTTCATAAGTTAGGAATTTGGTGCATAATGCCAGAATAATGGAGCAGTGTCCCTACACAGTGGCACTTGGTTTTTAGACATCTTGATAGAGTGAGAACCTCACACACACTGGAGGATACAGTGACTTCCCTTTTCTGTGTTTTCACACTTCAGGAAAGGAACACAGTACTGAGAACTCTGTGCAAGTCAGTTGTGGCAGTGTCTTATAAGTCCACAAGATGGTACTGTTTTCACATAAAAGCAAGATGATTTTTCATCCAATGTACTTCAGCCCTTCTTTCCAGAATAGGAATTTAGATTTTTCCTCCTCTTTTAAAAATGAGAAAAAGCAAGGTGGCTGAAGTTGGTGTCTTGGCTCTTGAGTTAAGGGCTTTTATTCAAGCATCTTGAGCTGGTTGGCACTTCTTGATAAGTTTGTGCCTTTTAGTGGGGATAAACTGTTTAGAGACTCCTGAAGCAACTTCTGCTTCTTGATTTTGGTGACTTCTGTCACCCTTGGGGATTTTGGTGGCTGTTTTCTTTTGTATCTTGTGCTGTACTTGGTAGCTTCTGTTTTGCGGACTATAGAATAGGCTCTTTACCCAGCAAGCCAGGCAGCCAAGTAGACATTGCAGCACCTGGAATCCCCACCTTTCGCTCTTCCAGTGTTGAAGCTAGGATCTGTGTTCTGACTGTGAGGACTGCAAACTCTTATTCAGCAGTATTTGCTCAAGTCGGTACTTTCAGGAGGTTGTTAAGGTAGCTTTGTTCACAGAAGACTAACAGAATAAACTGCTAACAATTTCTAAAGATAAAAACTTTAAGTTAAAACTTATATTAAAAATGTGGTTATAGTTAATAGTCAAATACATAATTAAATATATTAAGGTCACTTCACTTTTTACTTTTTTCGCCATAAAAATTTCAACTCCTTCCTCCCTTCTTCTCCTTCCCCACCCACTCCTTCCTAACCTCCTCTCCTCTCTCCCTTCTTTTGGCATAGTGGCTGGGAGTTAAAAGATTTTCTGGTGTCCCCATTATCTTTCAACTATTCCCACTTCCCTTGGCAGTGCTAGGACAGTGAATGGCTTCTCTGAGCAGTATATTATTTGTATTAATAGTAGGAAGATGACTTCATGTTCTCTTTTCTACTCCCTATAGCCTAGCTGGCTATCCATGACAATAATTCATGGTCTCAACTTTGGGGTTCCTGAAAGTATACAAAATCCTTTAATTCTCTCTGGAAACCCTGTGGTTAGTCTGGGAGGTGGAGGATGGCAGTAATAATTTATATCATTTACTGAGGACTTACTTGCTAAGAGTTGGACAGGGACTTGGGGCCAGTGGAGAGTCCTTTTTTCTTGGTGCTATGAACTAGTGGAGGCCACTGTTGATTACGTATTTTTATATGTGTGTGTATAAAAAAGATTGGGTATTCTGTTGTACACATAATGCACATATATAAAAACTTAATAAACTGATGAGTGCTATGAATGAAGAGGACAGTATACTCTGAAAATACATGACACATTATTTCTGTTACCTCCCAACAATTTTTGAGTTCAGTACTATCATTACTTTTTTTAAGGTTTTTTAAATTTACTTTTAGAGAGAGGGAGAGAAGGAGAAGGAGCGGGGAGTGAAACATCAATGTGTGGTTGCCTCTCCCACTCCCCCAACTGGGGTCCTGGCCCAACCCAGGCATGTGCCCTGACCTGGAATCAAATCAGTGACTTTTTGATTCACAGGCCAGCACTTAATCCACTGACCCTTACCAGCCAGGGTAGGTTCGGTACTATCATTAGATGAAGACTGAGGACCAGCAAGGTTAAGTAATTTGCTTAAGGTCACACAGCCAGGAAGTGGTAGAAACCCACTTGAAATCCAGTGTTTGACTCCAAAGATGGTGGTCTTAATCCCCGTGCTATACGATCTGAGTGTCTGACAGTTTTTTTCTTGGTGGGGAGATTAAAATTTGAATTAATGAAAGTAGACCCTACTTAGATGACATTTCCAGTTTTGAGTCTCTAGTCTCCAGTTCCATAGAATAAGAAAGGCATATTTGGGGGATAATTGAAGGGCACCTTGCTCTAGACAACTCATCAATTTCCCACTTGCTGGAAGGAAAACTAATTTAATATTAGACCCTAAACTCAGAACTGTTGGGAGATGCCAAGGATATATGGCAGCTGCCCTTTCTGCTCTGAATCCACCTGCCTGTTTCACAGTGAGACTTACAGCCTATTTGACTTCATGTTAATTCTTCTCACTTTCTCAATGATTTACAGTTGCTTTTTCAACAAATACCTTTGTAATTTTTTTCTTTTCCCTCTTCAGTTTCCAGACTGTAATGAAATATTGGGACTGTCCTTCTCTTCAAAGTCCTCTACTTAGGCACTGAAAGAGTGAAAGAAGAGACAGTGCAGAGAGGTCTCCTGCTTTCTCTCTGTTCTCCACTCTTAAGTACATGCAACTGAAAAATAATGCAGAACTTAAAACCTGAATGTTTTCTACCCAAGGCAATAGATAATGGTGGGAGAGACTGTGGTTTTCCCTTTGGTCTTTTCCCTTGAACCACCTCCCACGTGTCCTTAAATATTTTGATGCCAGACTTCCAAGGCACATTTCTTTCTTAGCCTCCTGTAGGCAGGGAGAGCAGGGTGCAAAAACCTTCCCTGACTTCACAGCATGGTGTATTTTCTAGGAGCCGTGGCGGCACCTGGATTCCACTCAAAAGGAGCAATACTGGGATCTCCTGCTGGAGACCTATGGGAAGATGGTCTCAGGAGGTGAGGGCACAGGCTCGCCTGATGGACAGAGGTGGAAGGAATGTGAAGCATTTTCTGTGTGCTTTTAGAGATATTGCTCTACTTGAGGTTCTCTGGGTGAAGATAGTCGTCATCGACACCGTTGGGAATGGAGTGAGTCAAAGATAACAGAGTCTCAGTAAGAACTTCCTGATGGCAGAAGAAGTATTCTCTGCACCAGGAACTATCATGGGTGCATTATATGCAGTGATTCCTTTAATCTGGGAAATAGGTCATGGTATTCCCATTTTTAAGATGATGAAAGTGAGTGTCAGATCAAGTCACTTGCTCATTGTTACATAGCTGAGTTACAGTGGATCTCAGGTGTGGCTGGCTTTGAGTCCACGCTGTTTAATACTAAACCACAGTCTCAACAAACTATTGGAGGTTTTTACACCAGCCTGCCAGGTGGTCTGACTCTACCTGCCCAGATTCTTCTTTTTTGTGGTCTTCACCGTATATCCTGGTTATCTTGGGAGCCCTGGTATCTTAGAAGCTCCACACACCTTTCTAAGTTGAATTACCTTAAGTGGTCTCCAGAGCCTTCCATTTCCTGTCACACTCAGGGCACTCCTTTGAAAAACAGCTGGGTCTCCAGTCCTTCCAGTTCATCAAGGCCCACATGTTATCTCTCTCTCTGTACCAGGCATTTCCAATTCCAAGCCCGACCTGACTAATTCAACAGAGTATGGGGAGGAAATGGCAGGATTGCACCTTTATGTCAGTGAGAAGCTCCCAAAACCCACCTGCATGGGTGAGTAATCTTCCATTGGTCAGAGCCATTTCTGGTCTCTTATCATTACATTGCCGGGGGTGAGGGACATATTAGGACTTGGGACTTGGCTATAGGGCTGTTGACGCATGTAGTCGATCATGGAAGAAAGACTGCACCTCAAATCTGCTGCCTTCAGTCTTATCTGTTGTGACAGGAATCTTTCTCAGAGTTCAGGTGAGTACAGATTGAGACCAATACAGATGGGGGTAGATTCCATTACAAAAAAAGATCATGTAACAGCCAATACTATCCTTCCTCTCATTTGAGGGTTCAGGGTAATTAGACTTTCCTTATTCTGGTTATAGTGAATAGTAACCAACTCACCCTTAACAAAATAAAATAAAACAAAATAAAACATGGTTTAGCTAATCTTGATGCACCTAACTTTCATTAAATAGCAGGAACAACAAATACCACATTTTGCCACATACAATGCACTCCCATACATAATGTGCACCCACGTTACATGGGATTATTATACCCAGGGTGTGTGATCAATCATTATACCCATGTATAAGGCACATCCTTATTTTTTCCTCAAAAATCTAGGCAAAAAGTGTGCATTATACATGGCAAAATATGATACTTCATGAAAATCATGTATTTAGGACTGGGGAAGAAGAAATACAAACTTGTTCTGTTGTAACATAGCAATCGCTCTTTGCCTTCTACATTCTTCTAAAATACCATGGTTATGTGAAACTTTTCTGTCAAACTTCCTTGGACACACATGTTTACATTTACAAAAGATCCTAGAATCTTGGAAGAAGAAAAGGATGAAGGATGTAAAGTGTGTGACAAATCATTCTTTCTCCCCAGTGGGGTTCAGTTATTTCCATTTCCTAATATACTACAGAGAGCAAGCATCGAATGAGACATGTGATTTTTACTTTATGCAATATAATTATAACACTATTTCACAAGGATTTCTTTGGAGCAATACTTTTCAGACTGCATTTCATGATCAATTAGTGTATTGTGAAATCATTTTATAGATTACAACCATCATGTAAAAAAATGAAATGATAAGATTAAATAGAAAATATCAGGATGCAAATAGAAAATATCAGATGTCAGGGTAGGTAGGTAATGTTTCAGGAAATTTTTGTTCCAAATATATGTGTATATACTGTATTTCAGTACAAACATATTTCTTACTATGGGGTAGCAGGCAAAAAAGTTTGAAGATATGGTAGGACTTCAAAAGTTGTTATGGTAGGAATTTTGTTTTAAATACTTTATTTTTTAGAGCAGTTTTATGTTCACAGCAAAATTGAGTGGAAGGTACAGAGATTTTTCCATGTGCCCCTTGCAGTAGGATTCTGTTCGTGATAGATAGCTCACTATACCCCCCACTCATTCTTTTTTCTTCTACCTTCATTCATCTGCTGACATGGCCCACTACAGCTTACCTTGAACCAGACTACAGAATCTACCAAGCCAGCTGACCTTGATAAGGGAAGCTCATGCTATTGCAGGTCTGGAGGAAGGATGTGTGGAAAGAGGCTGAGGAAGGAGCAATGTGCAGGGAGGTCTGGGAGGGAACTGCTAGAGGAGAGGAGCCCTGTGGGAAGTTGATGTAGGAGTCCAGAGGTGCAGAGATGATACCCTGGACTCATGGGAAGCAACAATGAAAAGATGGAACAGGACTGGTTCAGTCTAAAAGATACAACAGTTCTGGACTCAGACCAGGATACAAAAGTCAGAGGGCAGGGAGCATGTATATGCTATTGTATTTGACCACATGAAGCACAGCTCCTAGTTAGAACAGACCAGAGGAGGAGGAATAATCCTCAAAAAACTCACATACTCCTATCTCTAATCAAAATCCCAAGGAATTGAAGAAATTGTATGGAAAAATTATTCTTAAGTGGTTACTTGGAATAATACTGCAAGAATAGTAAAAAGTGTTGAAATAAGAATGTGTCATCAATATTAGATGTGTAAATGTTAAGAGTCTGTCATTTAAAATAGGTAAAATCATTAAAATAATGGGATTGTGATGTACAAATACATGCACAGACTAATGGATCAGAAAGGGAGGCCTAGGGGGAGAAGCTGGTCTGCATAGGAATCTCACACACGATGAAGGAAGAGTCGCAGAAGCTCATGGGGCCAGCTGTTCTTCGGTGGACAGTGTCAGGAGTAAAGGCTCTCGGGAAGAGGGATTGGTGTAAGTTTGATGTATATGAAATACCAGAATAAGTTGGAAATGGATGAAAAAGTCATAAAATATGAAAATAATAAGAAAATGGGTGAATATTTGACTCATGTCTGGATGAGGAAGGTTTTTATAAGCAATGGAAAGAATCATTAAGGAAAAAATTAATAGACTTCGGTATACTTAAAAAGAAAAAACCCTACAACTTCTATACATGAAAGTAACCCCAAACAAAATGTAGATAACTAAAATGGTAAAAAAACATTTTCATGAACCTGACAGATAAAAATGATTATTTTTCTTAGTGTAGGGTTAATGTAAATTGATAAGAAAAAAATGACTTTCCCAATTAATGGACATATGGAAAATAGCTCATAAATGTGAAAAAATTAATCCTTTAAAAATTAAAACTTATAACAATGAAAAATGTGGTCTAAATGGGAAATATTTTTAAAATACTCAAAACTTAAGTATTGGACACTGTTCTTTGCTCTGCCCAGCTTCTCACAGCAGAGATGGCAAAGCCATTCTAGGAGTCACTTTGTCTGATGGCAGGAATCCTCAGGATAACATTTAAGCCTGTTAACATAGTAATTCCACTTCAAGGAAACTTTCAGGTATTGATGAGCACTGTGGGTGAAAATTTAAGAAAAATGCTCACCACAGCATTATTTATAGTAGCAAAAACACAACAAACAACAGATTTCCATAATAGGAAAATTCTTAAATAAATGATATTATTATGTATTTATTGTGACATCTCCACAATGAATCATTATTCACCTTTTAAAAATAATATTTATAAGGCTTCTTTAAAGACAAAGGAAAGTACCTTTGTCATTTGAGAAGAATATGTCCTAAGCCCTAAGGCTTTGTGAGTTAATAAGTTCAGGTCTACTTCTCAAGCACATTCCTGGGTCTCTAGCAGGTAATTTGAAAGACACTAGCATAGGAAAGAGAAAGGTAAATAGCTTCATTAGATCTACAAAAATAGAGTAATTTATAAAAGCTGAAAATCTCATTACCAAAATAAAATTTTTACTATATGTGTCATTACCTTGTAATGACCAAAAACCTGTTATGATGAGAAAAATAAAATGTTAAATGTTACATGAGTTAATGAAGCACAAGCGAATGCTGGATTCAAGCACAGATTTACTTTTATGCTGCAGCTTCACTATACATTAAAACTAGTAAAATGATGCATCAATGTAGTGCATGAATTTCTGGGTTACTTCTGAAGGGGAGAAGCCATGTGAAATTGACAAAGACCACCTGTACAATTTAAGTGCTACAAAGCCAGATACACAATATATCACGTATGTCAGGCAGAAGTACATACGTACATATGTAATGGTTAAATAAATGCTGGAGGCAAATGTATACTCATAGTTGTTAACTCTGGGTGTATGATTGAGATTGATTTGGTTATGTTATATATAGTTTTCAAACTATATTTAGTGATTATATTTTTATAAATAACGAAATAAAAGCCAGTCATTTTTTGAAGTAGCACTCTGATATAATACACTTGTTTTTCCTGGGTCTTAATAATTACTTATAAAAATAGAGCTACCCTATGACCCAACAATTCCATTTCTTGGTATCTATCTGAAGAAAATGATAGCTATATGCACCCCCACATTCATTTCAGCATTGTTTACCACAGCCAAGATGTGGAGGCAGCCTTGGTTTCCATCTGCAGGTATAGGGATAAGAAGAGGTGGACACACACACACACACACATACCGTGGGGTATGACTCAGACATGACAAGGAATGAGCTCTTGCCATTTGCAGCAACATGGATGGATCTAGAGAGTATCATGCTAACTAATGTAAGTCAGAAAGACAAATACCATATGATTTTACATGCAGAATCTAAAACAAAACAAAATAAAACAAACATGGATATGGAAAACAAACTAATGGTTGCTAAAGGTGAAGGAATTTGGGGAAATGGGAAAGGGGGAAGGGGCTTAAGAAGTACAAACTTGGAATTAAATCCCAGGGGTGTAATGTACAGCATAGGGAATAATCATTAATATTGCAGTAACTGTGTACTAAACTTACTGTGGTGACCACTTTGTATAACTGTTGAATTGCTATGTTGTACACCTAAAACTAGTATAATACAGTATGTCAACTGTGATTTTTTAAAAAATGCATGCTGCTTATATGGGGGAGGGACAGTCAGCAGTGCCCTCTGTGAACTCCCTCCACATCAGACATCCTTCTTATTCTCCTTTGTCGGAGCTGAGTACTCTGCCCCTCCCTCAGTACCAAGTGACTCGAGTGCCAGGCGCTCACAGGGGATGATGTTTTTATCCTTCTACTACCCTCACTGATACCCTCTTGGTAAAAGAGTTAATGTCTTATGATGACCCTTTCTTTGGCATGGGAGTTAGAAAATACAGCATACCATTTATTGAACTGTTTTAAATCTTTCTTCCTTCAGGAGATAGACAGGAAAACGACAAAGAGAACCTGAACTTGGAAAATCATAGGGACCAGGAACCTCCAGATGCCTCCTGTCATGCCTCAGAAGAGGCATCTTCTCAGGCTCCCTTCAGTGGCCACTTCCCTGAGGATGAGCTGCGATGTTTTGGAGAAGGAGAGGATGTCCCTGAGGCTCAGGAAATCCTCCAGGGTGAGGGGGTAGGGGGACAGCTCTTTCCTCCAGAAAGGACTTCTGGAAAACAGCTGGGTCACTGTCTGCCCAGCCCTCCTCTGGGACAGCGGTCCATGCTGGGGCTTGAGCTGAAGAGAGCAGCCTCCCCCAAAGGGCAGCTGAGGGCCCCCATGGCCCAGAAACTCCCCACCTGCAGGGAGTGTGGGAAAACCTCTTATAGGAATTCCCAGCTGGTTTTCCACCGCAGAACTCACACTGGAGAGACCTACTTCCAGTGCCCCACCTGCACAAAGGCCTTTCTGCGGAGTTCCGACTTTGTGAAACATCAGCGAATCCACATGGGAGAGAAGCCCTGTAAATGTGATTACTGTGGGAAGGGCTTCAGTGACTTCTCAGGGCTGCGCCACCATGAGAAAATACACACAGGAGAGAAGCCCTACAAATGCCCCACCTGTGGAAAGAGTTTTATTCAAAGATCAAACTTTAATAGACATCAGAGGGTTCACACAGGAGAGAAGCCTTACAAATGTTCCTGCTGTGGGAAAAGCTTCAGCTGGAGCTCAAGCCTCGATAAACATCAAAGGTCCCACTTGGGAAAGAAGCCCTTGCAGTAGCCACGCCCTCTCAGCCATCTTGTTCATTTAAAAACACTCAGCTCCATCAGGACAAATTACATCTTGTAGAGCAGGGGTCCCCAACCCCCAGGCCACAGACAGGTTCTGGTCTGTGGCCTCTCAGGAACCCCGCTACCAGTGAAATACCTGAGTTCTGCCTCCTGTCTCTGCCCCTCCCACCCCCCCAACAGCAGGGAGTGAGCAGTGGGTGAGAGAGCCAGCAGCTGAACTCCAGCTCCCCACCCAGTCTCTTCTCCCATGAAGCCAGTCCCTGGTGCCAGAAAGGTTGGGGACCTCTTTTGCGTGAATTGGAGAAGAGAGTACCCAAACATTGTTTTGGACTCAGGAGGATAGATATATTGGCCTGTGGATTGGATTTCATGCTGGTTTAATTTCTTGTAGGAGAAAGAATAGTCTTTGTCTTTCACTTTATCTCATTTTGAGGGAGCGATGGGAGAAAACTATTGCTTAGAGATCCTGTTCCAGGAGTGCTGCTGGGAAGAGTGTTACTGGGTTAGCCACACCCGCTGCTCGTGGGAAGACTCGGATCAGTCCTCTCACACCCGGGTTCTAGAGCAGGCCTGCCACAGAAGGGGAAACAGAGGGCCAGCGAGCTCACGTGCGTTCTTTGTCATGCTGCTGCAAAGTTAATGTCATGTCCCCTGTTTTAAATAAACTGGAGTCACTCCTGTCTTATGTGTGTCTTAAGTATCCACAGAGTATTGATTGTAACTCAAAGTACATTTACTCCTAGAAGACCCTAAATGGTAGTTGAGCTCCTAGATCATTCCTCACAAACCTGTCGAGTTTGGCCAGCGCTGGGCATTCTTGGCCTCAGGTAAATCTGTCTCTGGTGTCCACTTCCCGAGCCCACCTGCCACTTCTAGCACACCTCAAGCTGCCCTTTATCCTGGTATCCCACGTAGGGTATAATTTTTGCCAAAGTGTTCTGTGCTTTAAAATTATTATTTTGTTTGTAGGTGTTAAGAAGAAATAAATAGCATTGAGCTAATTTATAGTACTAATCTAGAGGTTTATTAACACATATATCTAACCTGTGCACTCATCCTTGTCTTCAAAAGTTACATGCCCCAAAGTGTCCTGCCCTCCTAAACTGAGACTCCACCTCCCTGCCCACAGTTACTTGACCGTTGTTCTTGGTGAGGGGAGGAGGATGGTGCTAATGAGGAGGACTGAACTGAAAAAGATTACCCTATAAGGCAAGAAACTGCTAGTTATTCCTGGATTTGAGAGACATTACATGTGGTGTCATATAACAGCACCAGGGCTCAAGTGTTTGTGGCTTGTTTCTCTTTGGCTCCTCAGGATCATTTATGACTATGACTCTCAGAGCCCGGACCAGACATAGTTAAGAATGAAGCACTTTATTAGGAAAGGTTCAGAGTTATGAAGTTCCTCTCCCCTCACTCCTAGGTCCACACTCTTCCAGCTCAGCCCCACTTTAGGCTCTTCAAGTTCTCTAAAAGAATTTTACAGAATCATGAGAGCTTATGAATCTTTCTACGTGTCCCTCAGCTCCATTCTCTCAGTGGCTCAGCAGGAAGCTAGATCTGGAGAAGTAAAGCTACTCCAGCTAGAACCCACTTAGATGGGTTCTCCTTGGTCTTCAGGTTGAAAGTCCACACGTAGGTGGGTCCCCGCTGACCAGTCTTGTACACGGGACAGGGATAGACACTGCAGCAATCTTGCTTCTCTGCAGGGAGTGCCTTGATGAACATCACAGGCATGGGGGGTGTCAGGTCCTTTAGCTTTGCCTCTGTAATGACCCCAGCCTGAGGATGAGAACACGAGAAGAGCCATGTTAGATCAGACCTGGAACTCAGCCTGACAGCCTTCTCCAGGCAGAAGATCCTGGAGACGAGACTGGGGAGGGCTGTCTGCCCTTATGCCTAGCCCCTTGCTGGCTTTTCAACAACCAATGGCAGGACACATACTGTTTTCTGGCTTAAGTCACTGTTTGAATGAGAGGACCAAAAGCCACTTTTCATATACAAATTAATCCCTTTGAAATGAGTCTCCTAGTTTTATTTTTGGATTCATTAATTTCATAAGCATATCGAATGTAATTATTTGCCCCATGTGCTTGGTGATGGGGATTTAAAGATGAATAAGACACAGCTATCAGCAAATGCTTTGGACTTGGGTTACGTCCTGCTCCAGTTTCTTATTTGATCTCATGTGCCCTCTAGAACAGAGGAAGCTATGTTCCCTCTTTACTCATAGAATAGGGACCTGGCCTTTCTGTAGCTTTCCAGCTGGGGCCTCCTATGGTTTTCTCAGATGTGTCAGTAGAGTGGTCTAGGGCAGTTTTTCTAACAGGTCCCGAGAATGTTCTGATTCTTACCAAACAAGCTAGGGGAATGGTGCTCTCACATTTTGGACTTGAAGCTTTATAGTGCATACTAGCACACTGAAGACAAGCAGAAGCCCTAGCAGTAAAGAGAACAGTTTAACTTCTAACCTGGTGTTGCCCAAGCTTAGCTGACAACAGGACACTTTCTTTGCCATCTACTCCATTCCTGATGCACAAGCACTTTATGGAATGTATCTGGGGAAACACTGACCCCGAGTGACTTGCAAATTCCTTGCCTTGTCCAGGTGACTCAGCCCCTTCTGCTTTGAATAGAGGTTGATTTACTTTCTGTAAAATGTATTTAAAGGTGAGGATGCACCTCTTCAGTTTTGAGTAACAGAACTAAGGGAAACCCCTCTTTCCTCCCCACACAACTGAGTGTTTATGGCAGAAAGTAGGGGCAGGAGTAGAACTCTTTTTCTCCACAGACCATAAAACCAACCCTTTTAAAATGTACAATTCAATATTTTTAATGTGTAATCATCACTTTGTCATTCCAGAACATTATCCTTCACTCGAGAGAAACTGTAATCATTAGCAGTCCCCATTAGTCATGGGGTGTGACATCTCTAGTTATTATGGTTGAAATCTGTATTTCAATGGTATGTTTGTTCTGTCCATTTATTTTCAGCCTATTTGTATCTTTGAATCTAAAGTGTGTGTCTTGACCTGGCTGGTGTGGCTCAGTGGATTGAGCGCTGGCCTGCAAACCAAATGATCACAGGTTTCATTCCCAGTTAAGGCACCTGCCTGGGTTGCAAGCCAAGTGCCCAGTAAGGGGCGTGTGAGAGGTAACCACACCTTACTAATTCTCTCCCTCTCTTTCTCCCCCCTTCCCCTTTCTCTAAAAATAAATATATATATATATATATATATATATATATATATATACACACACACACACACACACACACACACACACACACACACATATATAGTGCATGTCTTGTAGAGAGCATACAGTTGGGTCATTTAAAAAATCCATTCTACCATTCTTTGCCTTTTAGTGTTTAATCTATTTGCATCAATGTAATTACTGACAAGGTAAGACTTACATCTGACATTTCACTCTCTGTTTTCTATATGTCATGTCTTTTTGTTCCTCCATTATTGCCTTCTTTTGTATTAAATAGATACATAGTGGTGTAGTATTTTAATTCCCTTGTTATTTCTTTTATTATGTTTTAAAATTATTTTCTTAGTGGTATGAATTAACATCTTAATTTATAAAGCTTTGTTCCAGATGAATAGCAGCTTGATTTCAGTGTTACACAGAAAACTTTACTCCTGTACAGTTCCAGTGCTTCCCTTCCTGTGCTTAGGGACTTGCACTTTTTTTATTATACAAATTACACCTTTATACATTTTATGCTGATCAACACAGATATGTAAGTATTGCTTTGTGCAGTTATCCTTTAAATCAGATACAAGAAAAAAGATGCAAGCAAAAGTTCATTTATATTGTCTTTTATATTTACATATGCAATTACCTTTACTGGTACTCTATTTCTTCCTGTGAGTGGAGTTACTATCTAGGGTCTATTAACTTCATCCTGGAGGCTCCCTTTTGTATTTCTGATAGGGTTGGTCTGCTAGTAATGAATCATCTCTGTTACTTCAAAAAATCTAGGACTGTCTTAATTTCTTCTTCACTTATGAGAGATAGGTTTGCTGGATGTAGAGTTCTTGGCTGATGGTCTTTTTCTTTCAGCACTATGACCACATAATTCTGCCACCTTCTAGCCTTCATGGTTTCTTAAGAGAAATCAGCTCTCTTAAATGATGGATTGCTTTTGTCTTGCTGCTTTCAAAATTCTCCGTTTGCCTTTATCTTTTAACAGTGATGGTGGTCTGTTGGTTGTCAAGGCTACCAGAGTTTGGGGGAGTGGGGATGGGAATAGGGCAATTTAGAAGGCCACAAACCTTGCTATTCTTACTGAGATTCAGCTATTTTCCTTCAGTAAGCACTCCTTGGATTTCCAAAAACCTTTGGTTAAGTTCTATTGTTCTGAAAATGTTGGTTTTAACAGTGTTTTTCACTAATGTTCTCAATGGTTTATGGGTGAGAGAATTTTGGGACATCTTTACTCTTACATTTTTGCTGAAATCTTTCTGGAATAGACACTGTAAGAACAAGATCTTTTGGTAGGCAGGTATTGCTTTTTTAGAAGTTTTTTGTATTAGAGTACTTATAAACAAGGTAATGAAAAGTTGGAGGTAGGTGATTGGAGTCATATCCTCCAACCTGACACAGTGGCGCTGCTCTTTCTTTTGAGCTCCTTTCCTACCTTTCTGTAATTCTCCTGTTTTAGTGTTTTAGGTACCCTAGCCCTGGCCTTCCCTGCGTCGCTCTACCCACGATGCACTCCATGCGTGTTCTCCCATGGAGGACTTACATAAGAATCCCGGCAGAGGGAGGAGAGTCAGCTTCCCTCTCAAGGTTCAGGCTGCTTAAAAACAAGTCCCACTTTACTGTCCTTTCTCTTGGCTCTTTGTTGATTTCCTGGGGCTACCAGAACAAACTTGGTGGCTTTGTACAACAGAAATGTATTTTCTCAGTTTCTGAGGCCAGAATTTTAAAATTAAGGCAGGGCAGGGTTGGTTCCTTCTGGTGTCTCTGAGGCAGAAGCTGTCCTGTGCCTCCTCCTAGCTTCTGGTGGCTGCTGGCAATCCTTGGCATTCACCGGGTGGCAGGTGCACCACTCCAAACTCTGCCTCCATTTGTCTGGGGCATTCTCTTCTGTGTATCCAGCATGGCCTTATTATAAGAAGGATTTAGGTCCTACTCTCACAGGATCCTGTTTCCAAATACAGTCACCTGAGGTTCTGGGTAGACGTGAATTTGGGAAGGACATGATTCAACCCAATACAGTTGAATATGTATATTTACATGGCCTTCCAGGATCTTCTAATGGTTGTTCCCCATCGCTTGATACCGAGTGCTAGGAATAGTTTAGTGTCACTTGCCACATGGGTCATTTCACTAAGAACTTCTAGATCATATGTTTAGCAAAGGTAAATTTGTTCTAGTGTTATTCATTTTTGTTCATGTCATTTATCCCAGCCATCTGTGCTTGTTTGCCAGTTTTCTATCCATTATAAATATCTCAAATCTTATTGGCTCGAATTTTTATTTAGTGTTTGGTAAGAAAACCTCTCAAAAAATGTCACTTTAAATGACATCTATTGGCTTCCCTCAGCTGAAGGGATTCCTGTCCTCCTGCAGTCATGAGTGAGGGAAGTGTGGCCCAGGGAGGTGGAATGACATCCCCAGGTCACACACCCAGGGGTGGCTGACTCGCACTTTCTGAGTACTCCCTGG